TGTCCAGGGGAGTAGAGTGCCTCATCTTTCTCCCATGGAGTGCCTGGTGGTTTCAAACTGCCGACCTTGAGGACTACAGCCTAAAGTGTATCTGCTACATCACCTGGGCTCCAATAGACCCCTGAAAAGACAATCGACATCAGCCCAAGGGAAAGATAAATCAAAACCACAATGAGGTACCACTTCGTGCTCACTCGGAGTGCAATAATTAAAAGTAGAGATAATAAGTGTTTCCAGGGGTGTAAGACACTGGAACCCTCAGACATTGCTAGCAGGAATGTAGACTAGCCACCTTGGAAAACAGAGTTGTCCAACAGGTTAAACATAATGTGCCTGCAACCACTAACAATAACAAAGCAGGAACCTGCTCTTAGGCATGTGGCCGGGAGATTTTATACCCCTACAAAACATGCTACGTGGGTGTTTATATCATTACTAATAGCCCCCCACAAAGGAAAAAGTCAAATTTCCATCAAGTGGTGAATGGATAAATTGTGATACATCCATACAGTGGGATATTATTCAACGACGAACAGGAATGAACCTTGAAAACATTATGCTAAATGGAGGGAGCTGGATACAAAAGGGCCCGTATTATAAGCTTCCATTCACATGAAATTGCCGGAGTAGGTAAATCCACAGAGACAGAAAATAGATGAGGGTTGCCTAGGGCTTTGGGGAGAGGGACGTGGGGAGTGGCTGTGGATGGGTACAGGCTGATGAAAATATTCAAAAATTGATTGTGGTGATAGTTGCACAACTCTGTGAATATGCTAAAAAGTTGAAAGTGAATTATTTGGGACTTTCATTACATCACAATAACATTATTACCAAATTTTATTGGTACATAATTGTTCCAGAGTTAGGCAGGGGTAGCCCTTTGAGCCGACTTTTGTGTCCACTGACAGTCTCACCATTATTTGGGCACGTCCTTGCTTTCTGGCACAAGACCGCCAAGCTTTAGACTTTTCCTTGCTTGAGCTGAGAACCAGCCATTTTCCAGAGTCCTGGTTCCCTTTTGGGGGGATATTATTTTAAAACCAAGATCTGGGTACTTATCACTTCACTTAAGCAGAAGGACAATCCTCTTTGTCTGAAGTGTGTGTACTTGATATTCATTGGCACAGCTTCCTTTGCAAATGAGGATCAGAGAGGTGAAGTGCATTGCCCCAGGGGACACAGCAGGAGGGAGAGGAACACCCAGAGGCTGAGCCCTTCCTCTGGAAGTACATTCTCAATGAAACAGTCAGTGGTTCTCAACCTTCCTCATGCCACAGCCCTTTCATCCAGCTCCTCTTGTGGTGCTGACCCCCAACCATAA